AAAAGTTTAGTATTGTGACAACCCTAGTCATGGTGCGGTATTGGCTGTTGAGCAAGTCCCAGTGCTGTATCTGGTGTTTGTCACAGCGCTCTATTGTCCAAGTTTTATTGAAAACATTCTTCTTTGAAATGTTGGCTACATATTACGTGTTTTTTCTCTGGCCAGATGTTTCGTGGCAAATCCTCCCTCTTCAAGTTGGCAATCCAACGATGAACCCGCCTTTTCACCTTTCATGATTCGGAAAGGTGAAAAAACTACTTTTTTTTTTTCACTTTTACCCAATGTATTACAACATCCAACTGCCATGCACATGGGCATTGTCAGTTTAACTATAGCTCTCATGAATTTCATTGGTGACGTCCTCTTAAAATCTTAAATAGTTGTTGATTGCAGAAGTGTCTAGTAGTTTTGCTTGTAAAGCGGGGAGAATGGTGCTAGGCTTACGACACCGTGACGTCACTGCAGGATGATGTCAGGAGTTGAGGTGTTACTATGGCCGGTCCAGGACTCGGTGATTGCGACTAAAATTATTTAATTTTTTTACTGATTAACACTAAATTCATGAAATCACTGCGAACATATTAGTTTTAGGTATAGATAATGATCCATTGAATATTCCTTGCTGACTGGACATTTCCTTTGATAGGTGTTCTCTCTTGGGAGTGGATACAAGGTTGTGCATGTGCATTTTTTTTAAAGGGGAGAGGGCGGGTCTTTTCAAAAATCCGCTAAAATCCTCCACTATACTTTTAAATCCATAGTCAGCCATGTGGTATACCAGGTAAACTCTAAAATTGGAACACTGTTGCTTTGTGGTGATGCTGATATTATTTTTTTTCCCAACACAGTTAAACATCTGCCCACACTGCGAAAAGCACCAATACCTGCTTCACTGATCATGCCATCACTTGACTGCATGTTTGACCAGCAAACTCCCCCTACATAAACCGCATAGAGAGCCTACTGTCAAAAGAAAGCTGAGAAAAAAAAAATAGACACAAAACTCAAACAGAATATATATGGATCTGTGAAAGTAATGTGGGCTTTTT